CCACCCACCCACTGGCAAGCGCTAGAACGGATATTGGAGGGTGTGTGCGTTGGTTTTATGTCCACTGTGTGGACATGTGAGTATGTAAATGTGTTGTGGCAATGTATAGGGGTGGTACGCATTAATAGGCGTGTCGGCCATAGCCCAGTGTAGACGGCCATCTTAGGCTGAAAGCACCATATCCCGTCTGCTCTGTGAAGTTAAGCATTCCGCAATTTGCCAGCTACCCCCGAAGTGACCACGAGACGAGCCCAAGCTCGCTCCTTCGCTTCCCTCAGCCAGCCTCCTCGCTCCCGCCCCCCGCCTGTCGGGCCGTGCCAGAGCTCCAAGCCTCCGACCGACTCGAGTCACCACAGTTGTTAGGCGCCCACAGTTTACTGTGAGCTCATCCCTGCTGTGCGAAAGACAAAAGTCCGTGCGCTAAGTTTTTTCCGAATAGGAATTGACTGGGTTTGCTCAACTACTACCGATTGACTCTTGTAGCGTGGACTGCTAAGTAAGACGCTAGGACGGATTACCGCAGTTCACTGAAAACCTGGAACCAAGTGGATTGGTGAAGGGACGCAAGTGATAGAAGTAGTAGGCTCCACCTACGCTTCGTCCGGGTATTGAGGTACCTTTCGACGAAGTGTTTGCTTAGGTGTCCTCGAGACACTAGAGCTGCGGCACACGCATTCCCACCGTTACCAAGGCAACGAAGTCGGCGTTGTTCCATCGCCGCCTACTGACTGGCCTCCCATCCCTCTTCGAATCAAGTTCCCATCCCACTTCGGATCAAGTTCCCATCCCAACCCGGATCATGCCTGGACCGCAACGGGATAAAAAATGGCGCCAGGAATGGCAAAATTCCGCACCCCGTGCCGAATCCTCGCGACCTCAAGATTCCATCTTCGAGAATGCTGAGAACGTTTTACTGGACCCCGACCGCAGCCCCGAAGACAAGCGCTTCGCGGCTCTCGCCGGCGCGCCCCAGCAAGTTTCCCCTGAGTTGCTTCTACCAATGTGGATCCCAGCCCGGGAGCTTACGGCCACCTTCTCGGATACCGAAATTATGACTTCGCTTGGATCGACGCCCCAAACTCTAACCTGGACGTCCAACCTCGGCCATCTTCGCGAATTCAAGACCGTCCGTAACGCTGGAATCAGCTTTCAGTGTACTGACCGGGATATCTGTACGAAATTGGGGGGAGAGCCTGTGACCATTTGCGGCCGCAAGTTCAAAGTCCAACCGTACTCGAAATATTCCTATTGGTACTATGTGGATCTTCAACGCCTGCCGGACGACGCAACGGATGGGCTCATCTACGACTGGTTTACCAATCAAGGCACTCCACCGGTGTATATCACGCCGGCCCATATTGTTGGAGGTCTTCGCTCTCGCAGCCGTCGGGTTTACTTCAACCAAAAGCTGCCTCCAGCGTCAGTGATGCTGAATAAGCGCACCCAGCTTCGCCAGATCCAGTTTACTGGTCAAGGCTACTCGGTAGTGCATCACCGCAACCGCGCCTACAACAGCGTCACCCCGCCTTTCATCAAGGAGCTCCGTGAAAAAGGTCGACAGGCTCGCCAACCCAAGCCTGCTCCTCCTAGTCCGGACTCGGAAGACACCGGCAGTATCCCGCCTGCGTTCGATGCCAAGAGCGATACCAGCGATAGTGAAGCAATGGTCAATGACTCCGCCTCAGAAGGTGAGCCACATAGTGGGGATCAATCTGACGGGGAAACCTGCCAACGCAGTACTATGGATGGAATTGAGTCTGCAGTTGTGGCTGACCCAAAATCGGTCTGGCCTCACGAAAAAGTACCCAATTTCCCAGTTGGCTCGACTCAATCCACCGACTTTACACCGGCCCGTATCAAGCGCGCAAAGTGTATGGTCCTGGGTACTATCGCAGATCCAGAGGTAGATCTGCGTCGCCTTCCACCCTCTCAGAAGGGATATCCGACGGTGGCGCCAGTTAACTCGTACGAATGGTTGAGTGATGGTACGGGCGGACCTATCCCTCCAGACTACGACCTCATTCTCTGGGACAAGTCGGCTGACCCGCCCCAGTCAATAGCCTCTTAAATGGGGCTATCGGAAGTGACTGAGGGCGCCCTGAATGCAGCAGTTCACCAAGGCAATGTGGAACAGCTCTCGCTCCAAGAACTCTGCGCTGTTATTGAAGATTACTTGGGCTCCTTTTGCTCGTTGACTGACCCGGACACAGTGCTGTCTACAGTCCAAGCCCAGCCCAGTCTTCACCGAGTCCTGTTAGACTCGAAGGCAGAGGATAATTTCCACCACCTTCGTGTCAAAGCCTTCGGGCACGCCGTTCTCCGAGAGTTATCCACACGAACCTATCCGTCGGAAGATGAAGGCAGTGTGTTTGACCTACTCTCCAAGCTTTATCCCGACCAGCAAGGCTTCGATTTCCAGACCGGCTTGGGACAACTGTGTCCCGATCAATCGCAATTCTGGTTCAAGTTACGACTGGCGGAAGCGGATCTGGCTCTACAGATTATTGCACCCAGTATCTACACGGACCCGCTCAAACTGAGCGCGCTTGTTTACGGGTATAAAAAGCTTTAAAAGAGCGAAACATCACTGGAGTACGGCCTCGCAGCTCAACTCCAGTTTTTGGTCACAAGATAATATGACCACCTTTACGGGACAGGCTGGCGTGGGTTTACTACTCACGCCTACCTGCCCCGTCCGAAACGTTCAAGACGTCACGCGCCGGCATGTCAGCTCCTCAGAGCTGCTGCCTCGGTACTTACTGGTACGCGGCATTCTGGACTCAGTAACGACCTACATCCATGTGGTCTACGCCCCAGTCCAACCAAGCCAGCGGACGGAGTTTTTCGCTAACCTCCCCCGCACCTTCGAAGATGACTCCCACCACATTGTGCTGGGAGATCTGAATACTGTTCTCTCGAGTCAGGCTCGCCAAGGTGACCGGAATCGTGTTCAAGGTCGTGAAGCCCTATTGGAATGGATGACCGCCTTACACTTGGTTGACGCTTGGCGTCTCCAACATCCAGACCTCCCGGAATTCACCAGTCCGAACCGCAGCTCTCGGATTGACTACGTGTTAGTCAGTTCCAGACTCTTCCACTCCGCGGTCCAAGACGTCCATCATGACTTCCGTGGCTTAGCTGGTCGAGGTGACCATACAGGAACTTCATTCCGCCTTGGTGTATGTTTTGGCGAAGATCTGCCGCTGTAATTCCATAGCACGTTCCATCTGTGATCACAAAGCCGACACAGTTGTTGCTAGATTGGCAAACACAACGACAGCGATCTTTCAGCGTGTACGTTTCAGCGCAAACACTGATTCCACATGTGTCCCCTTTGCATTGCGCCAGCAGAGACACATTCTGGCTGAGAGTCCACTTGGCGTTGCGAGCATTTGTCCACGCGTTTTCCGAAATGACTGGAACTTGATTCCGCACGTAAGTTACTCGTGTTGAATCTGTTGAAATAGAAGAAGTGTTGGGAAGCATTAACAAATTGCAGGTGTTCGTCACTGTTGTACACACCTAACCGACAAAGACCGTGCCGAGTGCAGCGAGACTGGCATAAATCCTGTGAGAGCAGGGCGCCTCTCTCAATGGTAACAATTTGCAGTTAAATCCCCTTTAGCTGAAATCCTGCAACTGTCGACATCTTTGCATCAATAGCAATTATGTGCGAACCAGCAGCAGCATCCACCATAGAATGCATCGTCAAAGGCTCACAGGTTCCATTTGCTACTGCCCCGGATATTGAGGAAAAATCTCCATCAAAAAGGGGATCCCCGTTTCTTGATATGCGCGCGCGGAATGTCTCGGTGGCCGAATTGCGGCATATATTGCCAGCAGCACGGATGATGAGAGTACTCGAGGACGAAAGAGATACTAGTATCGAGAAGACTGTAGCCGCCCCCGAAACCACACTATAACTTATCGTATCAGTGATCAGTGAAGCCCCTAGAATGAATGCAGCTGTAGCTCTGCCGCCAATGATTTTACCTGTTTTTGTTCCTTGATATTGATAGCTGAGAGAAAGATTCAATGCACTTGTTGATGAAACGCTGGTAAAGTAAGAGTAATCAAGTGACATCCCAGACAAACCAAAGAACGTGTCGTCGAGGCGAAAACCTGACACTGGTGCTGTAAAACTCGAGCCAAACCCCAGATCAAGGCGAAAGCTTTTCACAATGCAGTTGTCCACAAAAAAATCTTCCGGAAAAAGAGCAAAGCAAAACGCCGCTTGACGAATAGGGAAGAGAAAATGTCAACCCAGCTATTACACTCCATTGAGAAGTAATTGCCGTTGGAAAGGTTGTTTGAGCTACCTTGACATTAGCCCATGTGCTGGTCGGTAAAATTGAAAAAGAGACAAGCGATGAGGTATTAATCTTGGTGCTTTAGGCATCTGTTGTCGATACCGATCCTAGGTGTAGTGCAAACCGGCCATCAACAGGGGCATTTTGGAACTGTAAAGCTGATTCCGACGCTGCTCGCTTTGTTCGCTAGTTCAGCAGTAAGCATAGCCGATATCGTAGAATCAGGTGCGACGAAGTGTGTCCATTTTTTTTAGTTCTCCAATGATGGCAGAAACGAAAGTTATAGATGGCGTGGAGCCTTCTCGACTGAAGTATACTGCTGACGTTTCGAACTTAGTTGCGAGTCCGTAAATCTTCAATACGTGAAAACCAGGTGTGATTTAAGTTTCCACCTGGGTTGCGTAGACAATACGCTTTCCAGTATCCTGTTTTTCCCATCCATTCTTGCAAAACGACTCCATCCAGGACGACCACAGCGCCATAACCAAGTCGGAAAGGTAATCCCAGGTACCACGACCAGCTTGTAGCGACAGGACTAGGCTCCACAAATTCAATCTACAGCAGAAATCCCTCATTTGTGTCCACCTGCTTGAATCTACCTCATAAATCACTTTGGGCATTCATTATGGATCCAAGGTCAGACAGTTCGCGCTCACAAAAGCCGTCACTCTCCACGGGTGCAGTAGCAGCATCGAAAACGTTTAGAAAAGTTGTGCCTTGTCCAGTTTTGTACGCGGTAGCAGGCACAGATTTTTAAGACATACGATATCTTTGCGTACGGACTTAGAGAAGCTTCAATGCGCAGCATAATTATTCAGGTTGGTAGTAAATTGGTGCTTAAAGGTGAAAAACGTACTTGGGTAGTTAAGTCTGGATTCTAAAACATTCTCAACATAGTATCGCGAATCCTGCAATAAGTAAGACCGGCATTGGCAAATCATTGGTTAAGTACCCAATCGGACTTACTTAAGTAGCTCCTAAAAAAAGCTACTTTCCCCGATGGATCGTGACGAATTTCTTGGAAAATATACGTTTGCAATAATTCCGAGCCTATTCCGTTCGAACCCTCCTCGACTTCAGGACAGCTCTTCGTTGCTGCAAATAGTGGCATCGATTATGAAGCACGCGTGGATTATGCCTTCCAAGCTAACGCCGCTGATATCGACGGTTTAACCGTAACCAGCGATGTTAATATCAACGTTATTGATGTTAGCGAGTCACCTGTCATGTATATCACGGCTTCCCATAATGGAGAATGCACCACAGGGAACCGTTGTTGCTCAAGTACAAGGATTTGATCCGGAAAATCGAACCCTCTCGTTCTCGTACGCTTCTACGTTTGCTGGAGATGGCAACAGTACTGCTTTCCGAGATGTTCAAACATAACTGCTCAAATTGAGGTCTGGCCCTTTGGATTTTGAGGCAATAACGATGATCCAGCTCTCGTGCCAGGCCGCTGACAAGGGTATAAATATCGTGGACATTCTTGTTAACATTGCTATCACGAATGTAAATGAAGCTCCATATTTTACGGAGTCCGTGGTTCAATCAACATCCCAGAGTCCTCAACTGTTGGAAGTGAAATGTATCGTTTAACCGCGTTGGATCCTGACGGGACCGGGGCCGACTTGCGGTATTACATTGTCAGTGGCAACTCCAACCAAGCGTTTGTCTTTTCCAATTTGGGCGTGCTTAAAACGTCGCGAAAACTTAGCGCGTTGGAAGTATTCAAAATTTCTGTTGACGCCATCGATACGCTTGGGAATGGACTACAATCACAAACAAACCAGGTTTTGATGATATCGGTCAGTATCGTAAACTCTCCGCCGGTTGTTGACAATTTCGTGTTTCGTGTGGATGAGAATACTGGAATTGGTACCAGAATTGGTCAGGTATGGGGTGTTGATTCTTTCGACGGAAGCGTTTTATCATTTTTCACCCTTCCTGGAACCGACAGGATTCAATTCCGACCTGTAAGCAGAAACACGTCAGGTGTGTATCACTGGCCACCTATGCTAAACTGTGAAGCGGAGCCCTCGGTCACTTTTGTTCTTTGCACGATGGATGATGGATCGAGAAATGATTACGCTGCAGTGATGAGAGGTTGCGGAAATCTAACGATATCTGTCAGTAGTTATATCCAGCACATAACGCCGCCAGTTTTTTTCTTCCCGTAATTTACCAACGAGAGTAGGTTTAGAGCTTCCTGACCACCAGTTGTGAAATCGACTACAATACCGCTAAGTAGCATCTGGTGAGAAGGAGGTCTCATCCAAGCACCACAGATACTAACTATAGCTTCACACGCAATAGAAACTTGTATATCGTAAAAAAACAAGACTTAAGGCAGCTCATCAATAGCAGCCTTCAGCTTAGGCATCTTGTCATTAATGAAGTCATTTTTTTTCATCCATTCGATGTAGTTGTCATCGATTGCTTGGATCTGCTTAATGGTCTTACCTTTGTACTTACCAAAGGTCATGAGAAACGAACCATCATCGTTAGTAAATTTCGACTTCAAGAAATCAGCGATCGCGGCCAGCAGCACTGGTTCCAAAAACGCCCGCGTTCGGTGTGGATCCAGCAGAGGCAACCAAAATAGGAGAGGACTGACCCGAAACAAGCGTTGTCGACGACAGAGTCATAGATTTTATCGTACCAAGTGTAATTACCGACGAACCTTGATTCACACGAAATCGAAGTTTGATCTGAGGATTAGCGATAAGGTCGATCTCCTTAAAAATGGGGTGTAAATCAACCAACTTGATTTTTAGCATATAATTCCAAGTACCAGCTACTGCCCCAGCGGTGGTAGTACCAGAACAAAGGATCCACGACCAAACTAGTTAGCAATTGTATTAGCAGCTCCAGATGCGATAGTTGCCCATCTATTCGTGTTCTGACCTTCGGCCACGGGGGGATTACTTAGAAGGCGTTTGACGAAACCATCATGAACGGGGTAGCTTGCAGCTCCAGTTGAGCTCGTTCCTAGATCTGGTGTAATGTCTGCAGCAGTAGCAGAGTATCCATCACCATTCAGGCTACTTGTACCAGAAGTGAATAGCAATGATCCTGAGGAATCTGGGAATAGGAAATCCTCAGCACAATGTGTATTTGCATAATCAAGCGAAGTCTCTGCCTGAGCTCAGAGGTTATTAGCAAAGTGCTTAAACTCACTCATACTTATAGCAGATTTACCATTGAGTTGAAGAGACATGCCATCGATAACATTCCAAACACCACATTTCAGGCCGACCGATAGACATTTAGCAACAGCTGCAAGAGCAGTACTTGTATGGGTATTCATCATACTAACCTTGTACGGAATGACTACATACGCATCACGAAGGCAAGCAAATTCCTCAGCGCCATTTAGCTGAGCTGTGGAATCGATAGTGATAATACCATTGGCGTACGAACCCTGATTAAGATCGATTACGTACGGTACACGCTTGCAGGAGCTGACGTTTACGGCCGGGTCGTTCTTCAGCGAGATCTGATACAGAAATTGATCAGTGAGTTGGGTATCGGTCATAGTTGATCGTAGTTATATCTGAGATGATATAGCTTCAACGAAAAAATAAATAAATGGAGCTAATTAAAGGAATGAGCAGCGATCATGATCTCATTGCATGTCACAATAGCGTCGTCACGCTATGATATGGTAGCACTTAGCAGAGGTCGGGTTACTGACGGACTCAGGCAAGATGCCTTCGCAGTACTCTGTCAGTTGGTTTGCTAGTTAGCAGGTAGAATGAGATCTGATTGAATTTAGACGCTTCACTAACTAGTCTGCGCTAAAGCTAGTTAGAGCTATTCGCTCAGTTGCTCTTGTGTTTTTTATACAAACATGTAATGCTGAATGTGCAACTTGAACGTAGTCTTCAACTTGAACACGCATTCAAACTGCACAGCCAACAGCGAATCACAGATGCCGTGTTCAATCCGCTAGTAATTGCCGTGTTCAAGGCGTTATTTACGCGCTTGTACTTGAATAAGCAGTTCCAGCATCGATTTCAGCCTTCGTCTTGAAGATTCCGTGACATTACATTAGCCAAGAGACTCAATGTACACCTCGACGCTATTTATGAGTCAAATGAGATCCAAAAGCCACTTCCCAAGAATGGCTCGTTCCTGATACTGCTACGTAAACCTAATCAGGACACTGGACGGCAGTCTATAACCACGAATACTATGATTCGATGGGTGAAGGGCCTCCGCGCGAGTATGGTGGGTGTCAAAATCAATCGGCACAGGGTTCCTACTGTGGCATATGGTCAATGCTATGGTTATACGCGAAGCAACATAATCGTATGGATCTATTCAAGAATTTCAAAGATTTAAATACTTTTGTTGCAGATTAGTTCTGAGTTAAATATACTATCAGTCATGTACCGCGAATTAACCATCTCAAGCGGAGTCCCAGCTCATAAATTGCGCAAAGCTTTCAAGACCGGGAAGCTTTCGCTGACTGCAGCAGAACTAAAGGGATCAGATGCTAAACTACATCTCCATCCAGAATCACATGAGAAGGCGCTCAAAGCTAAGGAAGCCGGTCGTGGCGTTTGTCTCCATATCACGAGGCATGATATCAAAAAGTGATACAAGAAAGCTCAAGGAGGGTCAATCTGGAGCAAGATATGGCATGGAATCAAATCCGGTTTCATATTTGCCAAGGATAGTGGTTTGCTTAGCAAGGCAGCCGATGCCGCCGTTCCAGCGCTTGCAACTGCACTTGGTCAACCAGAACTCGCCGTGCCCGCTAGTGCAGGTCTAAAAACCTTTACAGGTGTAGGGTTGGACGGGTATGATAGCGAGGAGGAGGGTGGTCGTATCAGTATCGCTGACGTAAGGAGACACGCTGGTAATGCTCTTCGTTATGCTAAGGAACGAGGCATTCTCACGGATATCGCCGACGCTGGTGAGCGATATCTAGTTGGCAAGTCTAATAATAAAGAACACCACGATATGATCCATCAGGTTCGTAAGACGATTAAATCACGTTATGGCATTGGTGTCTCTAAACCACGGAAAGGAAAGTTTGTAAAGGGGTCGCAAGCCGCAATAGATCATATGGCAAGCACGGTGGATCCTTCACAAGGTAATGATTGAAAAAGAAGATTTTTTTGCTTATCGCAGCGAAGGTCGTTTTCGTAGAATTAGCATAATATTCACGCTCGTATCCCTGAAATGGACTCTCTGATCGTTCTGATTCCAGATGCTGATCGATACTGTATTCCTTGCTCCATCATGTGTACGACACCAAGTCTCGTGACTTGGAAAATATTGAATCTGTTTCCCGATCGTTGAATCTCCTTTATCAAAAACGCTCATAATATCCCCACTAGCTACGAAATCATTCTTGATAAGATCGCAGCGAACAACATACAAACTCGTTGGACTGATCTGTGGGATAGTGTTGGATAGAGTAATAAAGGCAGTTGTCGATGGTGATGCTGGGTATGTACCAAGAGTTAGACCAAGCCAAGAGCCAAACGCAGCATTATTGATGATTAAACGCGGAACTCGAGTTGTCGTTCCACCCGTTGAATAAAGGCCAGTGGATGGTCGGCTATATCCAGTAGGTAATGAGGTTGGAGTAGCGCTGTAGTCAAGCTGGCAAGCGTAATAGGTCGAATTCTCTTCGATTTGAATATAGAAGACATTGTTGCCATTAGAATCAATTAGATATGCTCCAGCATTGACAAGAGCCGTTTGAATATTTCAATTGATTTCACTGTATAGATAATAACCATCAGCGAGATTGACACTAATAACGCTGGTTGTTGCAGCTGTTGGGACTTCGATTTGAAAGCTGGTATTGGCGAACTGAATCGAATCAACGTTGAATTCAGAGTTATATAGAGAGATCGATTGAATCGATGCTTCTACATCCTGGAAATTACAAGCAGACCCAGGGAAAGTATACATCCATCGCCTCTTAAGCCCATCCTGGACTAGACAGGTTTGGTCAATTTTCACAAATGAACTCATGCTTGCTGCTAAATGAGACAACTAATTTTTTTCTCCAATATTAATCGATTGATCAAAGTTATAGCGTATCTGTCCCTTTACACTACCGATGAAGAGCATTTGACCTTTTCCACTAGCAATAGCGCGATTGTAATAATGCATGATTCCATCTTCGGTTAATCCAGGGATGTTAAAATCAGTAACCAGTAGCTTTAGATCGCGACGGGAATTCGCGTGAAGTATCGCTACGTATTCAGTATTCAAGCGAATCATTTTATCAGTGGCAAACCAGCTGTGGGATAGAAATATGGTACTAGGCTTGAAATGTCTACCTCGAGTGAAGTATTGCTAATCACATTCTTCTGGAGCCCCTTATCATTGCAACAGTCGTCGATGATGACAAGCTCTGGTTTATCACCCGGAGTACGTCTGATAGCATCTATCTGAGGCGGATGCTCGTGGAAAGTGATGAACCCCTCAAGCTTATCGCGGAGATTGTCGTACAGCTCCTGGTGGGGATTGCGTGCGATGATATGGAGATGTGCAAATACGTGAGGAGAATGCTTGAGAATATGAAAAACAAGGTTGTTCTTGCCTGAGAAACTCGGACCAAGGATAACCATTCTGAACAACTTCTTGATCCCAAATTCTGGTATAGTTCCGACTGAATCAGCCCGATACATTTTGGGTAGTGATCCACCATAATCAGGAATCCTTACGACTAAATATAGCTAGACTTATATATGTTAAAAGAAAGATGTCTGGATTTATCTATCCACCACCAACGTTCATTTTTTCATGCTACAACCCAGCATTCTACCTCTCCCTCGATCAGACAGGATACTTGACCTATGCGTATGCCCAAACATTATATCTAGGTATCAATGACTATCGTCTGTCATACATCACTGGCATCACCCCTGGTAGTGCTACACCAGGTATAGCTCTTGTCGTAGCTTCTGATGGATCTCTTAGCGGATTAGGAGCACTGAGTTGTTCGTCTCTAACTGTTGACGGTTCTGCTGTATCAGCAGCCCCCCAACTATGTTCTTGGAAATACACCTGGAACCGCTGCAGCGAGTAAAGCGCTTGTACTCAACGCAACAGGAGATGAGAGTGGAATAAATTCGCTGAGTGCTACAGGTCTAACTGGAACACTTCAGACAGCCTCTCAATCACATCAGTTGGAACATTAACTACTGCCGGAGAGGTATAGTATACCAATGTCCTCCAACTCGGTTCGGAGACCAAACAGGTCTGGTCGATGTGCCATCGGATGCGTTTGCAAAGCTGGGAGCATCAGCCGATGTCCAGATGCTCCAAGTGGCGTTGGCCAAGTCGCATTATCCCCGGCGTCCATTACTTACGTACTTGCACCTCTATCGAAACAGCCTGGCGAGACGTTTTTCAAGGTGTTGTGTCTGCCTTGAACAGCGGTGCGGCTGTTTCAACTGATATTTTTGAGTTTCAAGACGTGAAATTGACTTTCTTTTAAGACGGGCTGGTCTTTTGGATTCGCGTACAACATAAGTATATCGTATTTCGAACAGTCTCAAGTTAATCCGAAGTACGAGTTTCAAATGCCAGTTGCTGGCTTCGATTGGGGTGCCATGGTGCTGTTGGATGGTTCTGTTGTAGTTCCACGATCAAAGAATGCATCTCTCGCTTTTTCGTTCGTGTCATCATGGGGTCAACATGTCGTGTCAATCATCGCAGCCGAGTCGCAGTTTGTCGTGAAAAGATCAGTTCTTTTTCGCAAAACGTCTTTTACAAGCTTTAGTACATTACGATGCGACCTGTTGGATGGACAAGCTATCACAATACAAATTGACATCAATTTGTGCGCTACTACTGCTACGACCTGTAAAAGTTTTGCGAGTATAAACGGAGAAATAGCGAGAAATCTTGCTCAGACTACAAATTCTGTGGATATTTTAATGCATTCTGGAACGGGGGCTCAAAGTTCAGCGATAAATGCTGACGCGTCCGCAAGTGCTACTTATATGCTGACTTTGTCCGCGATGGATACTGGTGGAATTGCAATTATTATTGGCACAAAACTGGCAGTGTTTCCATCGACTTTACGTATCTGGATCAAAGGATATGGCATCTCTCAAAGTGCAATCGATGCTGCATCTTCAGGCTTTGTTTTGGTGGTGGTTAATGATAATGCTACACCTGCCACTTTCGACGCTGTTGTGCCAGGACCGAGTTATAGTCTACAGTTGGTGCTATCACTCTCCCAAGCCAGCTCTTACTACAGCTTTACCAGTGTCCCATCGGGCTATTATGCTCATCCTGAGAATGCTCCAGATGGTCGACGTTGCGAGCTTCGGAAATGCCCACCAGGATATAGTTGCTGAGGTGGAGTCCGCGCACTTTTTTTTTTTTTATGTATTTCCTGCTTCAGTTTGTGTGGACAAGAAGTACACGCTGAATGTTAACGAAAATGACGCTGGTTTTGTTTCAAGCGTCAGTTTTAATCTGGATGTCTCTCCTGCTGGGATGGCGTACCAACTCAAAGCTCGTAAACGCACTTAATTATAAAAGGAAGCAGAATGCCCCCTTTTCCTGGTTTAACTAACTATGTAATCTATGTTAAAGGAGGCAAGATGCATCCTTTTATAATTAAGTGCGTTTACAGCAGGTCGTTATGGGCATAGAAAACCGAGAAAATCACACTTGGAAGATTTGAAGGTGGTCCATCTCTCGCCTTAAAGGATGCAAAATGCCTCCTTTTGATACCGATTACCCTAGATTTGAATACTATAGTTTACTAAAGTGGCTCGCGAAAGGGTTAGCACCATGACCATTCATAATGCTATAGAATAGTTTAACGGTGTTATCAATACGCTTCTCTTCGATAAGATTTTGTGGCTGTAGCTGCGGCTTGACCTCATCGAGAAGATCACCTTGTTCATGCAACATGGACATAGCATCATACAGAATGTCTAACGAGCTTGCCCACTCAATCTTAGACATTAAGTCTGTTTTATATTTCCCAGTTGCAAGAGGGTGCGTACTACGTCTTTCATTATTAGCATCAGCTTGATTTATGACTCTAATACCAAACTGATGGTTATCACCCTTTGCGTTGTACCAATCGAGGAAGTGAGTATAAGCGGTTTGCCCCCTGATATATAACATGACTCTGAGGCCAATAACTGAATGATCATCATATGCTTTCTTAATGTAGTCCTCGAGAATTGACCTTGCATCTTGATCTGGTATACTTAGCCTTGCATACGGACGTTCGTTACCCACCTGTTTATCACCAGGCTTCGTCTGCCATAGAAGTTTGGTATCTAATAGCTCGGACTCTCTAATGATCTTACGATGGTTCGCATGAATGATTTTATCCATTTCCGTTGTTCCAACATCAAGATATTCAGCTTTTACCTTCTGCAATATCGAGCTTAGCGTAGCAACATAATCAATATCATTTTTCAAACTAGTAGTTTCACGTTTCGAGCGATAATTAATCACTTTGAACGGCGTCTCGCTTTAGATAATAGTCATATGATTTATAACCTCCATGCTTAAAAATAGGCTCAATAGGTATATGATTCTTTTGGAGTGGTGTTCCATAGAATGATAAGAACCAATAGAGTCGTTCTCGACTTATGTTTTGGTCTTCTCCAGTATCAGCACTCTTAGTGGATAGCTTAATAGCGGACTTTTTTTTCTCATTCCTTCTTCTTGGTCCTTGAAGTATGACAATCGCTAAATAATAGCCGAAGTTGTGTTTTCGAATCTAACCGGAGGGGGAGCACAACAAATATAGGAAAACACAGAAATATGAGGCAGAGTCACACACAAAAAAGCTTGTACACATCGCAACACATCGATTGCTCCACTTGTTAATACGGCGAATATAATAGGATCCTACCCAATCATCGTTGAGCAAACGAAATAATTATAGTCTATCATATTAACCGAAATTTGAAAATTTGAACGGAGGCGGCATCCACAAAAACGAGAAGGGGGTGAACGTGCAAGGAGCGATCGCAACTCCACTAGGAACTGGTGGACACACTAAGGGCAGTGAGCAGGATAATAACGGACAGCCATGCCGCAAAAGCTTCCATGGCTCGAAGTCGCTGTCGGTGTCAGCATCAGCGACGGCAAGGAATTTTTGGAAACCCTCAAGGTCTACAAACTGACACGTAGCCAACCTACCGCTTGCTCCATATGCACCAATCCTTTGCTTCATCAAATGCGGTATGGGTTGTTAGAATGCATATCTACGACATGCACGGACTACGCCCCTACGATTAAATGCCCCTGGCGCGGAAAAATTCTCACATGTGAGCGCTCCAAAATCATGGCTGTTTACGAGCTGAACGAACACTTTTCTAACGTGGTTGAACCTCGCAAAAAATGATGCCACCACGACAGAAAGATGTTTTGCAAGGAGATGGCGGAGCAAGGATTGAAACCCGGTCACATTCGGAATGCGATGAAGATCAAGATGCAATTGTCAGAGGATACAGCGCCTACAATAAAAATGGTGCAGAATCTGGTGAATTATTACTCTCGAACAAAACTCGGCAACAATGATCGCCACGATAAGATCACGCAATTGGTGCGCGATGCAGCTTTTACCGGTCGAGAAGAACATACACAAGCTTTCATGTTCGGGTGGGATTTAGATGTGGATGGAAACCTGTCGTTGGAAACGGGTCAGACAACAACCCATTTTTGGTTGGAATCACATCTAAAACGCTGTTGATGCGCCTTGATCGTGATCCTGGAACCGGGAGAAATTAATGCAACCAGAAAAACGGTCCTGCATCCGAAAAAATGTCCTGCAATTTAGGACTATTTGTAGGACCAATTCATGACTTGTAGGACATTTTTTCGGATGT